TCCCAGCCGTCCGTCCTGGCACAGTGGGGCACGGGGGGGGGGGGGCCTGCCTCCTCCCACTCAGTCAAGCTTGGACGGGGCGGTCCGGGGGGGGGGGGGGGGGGGCTTGCCGGGGGGGGTGGGGGCCCCGGGGCGCGGGTGCTGCTTCTGGTCTTGAAGACCGGGGGGGGGGGGGGGCTTTTGTGCTTCTCCTGCCTGGAAGCGTGAAGGGGGGCTCCCCAGTCCTGCTGCAAAGATTCTCCGGGGTTTTCTGTCCCCCAAGGAGCTGAGTGGATCAATACGAGCCTTTTCCCTCCAGGCCTTTTCGAAGGAAGCCGTCAGTCACGTGCAGACCCGCCTGGCCAAGAAGCAGGTCCCCATCACCCTCTTCCAGGTGAACGTGAGATCCGATGGTGTCTTTGCGGAATGACCGTCGCGTGAATCCTGACAGGACTCCTTGGGCAGAAAGCAAAGAAGGGCTGAGATTAGGTGGACTCAGAGTCTCGATCAGGGTTTCCCAATTTCATAGCCTTAAAATGTATCGAATTCTGAATCCCATCGTCCTCAGCCAGTTCAGGCCTAGTCCCAAGTGTTTCCCCAGAGTGGGGAATGTTGGTTTGAATCTTGGGTTTGTGGTACGGAAGCCCGTGGTTTGGATAATTGCAATATTCTTGGCTTTTCTCCCCATAGCCCTACTTAGAAGAAATCTGTGACAGCTTGCGAGGAAGCATCTTCCAGCTGTTTCTGGAAAGGTAGGGCTTGGGTGGGGGTCTTCCTTCTCTGCAGCCCCCCCCCTCCCCTGCCTGATGGCCCTTGGGGGTCTCTGCAGGGTCACCTCAGGATCAGGCCAGGAAGGAGGCAATGGCCGCTGGGGACGAGAGATACTTTGCGTGTTCTGGGAGGGCGTAAGATGCAGCTCAGCTGTGGGAATCTCAGTGGACCCTTCCAGAACTCTTAGGGCCCCAGAGGTTCTGTGCAAAATGGACAACCGTAACCGTTGCCTTGTATTGGGGAGGTTCTACAAAGAGACTCTTCAGAAATAAGCACCCTCTGGTTTTTTAATTAAAAACAACGCTATTGAGTTCTCTGAATTACAGTGTTCAGTTTTTCCTCCCCTCAGGAGTTATTTCAGCACTTTTTAAAATGCATTTCAAATAGAATCTTAAGGGATTAGGAAACACGGAAGCTTCATGTGATTTTGGCAGCAACTTTTACTGGAATCTCTTCTGCTTTTTAAGAAGCAGCATCATAAACAACTTTTGCTAAAGGTCTGATTTCAGGACACCCGATTAGGGGGGGAAGCTAATCAAGAGACCTTTTTAAAATCAGGAACTTGGTTTTGTTTTTCCAATTCATCGTAGGAGAGAGTTTTGTTTTTACTGTGGTCATGGACTATACCTTGCCCCCTTCTCTCTTATGTCCAGTGATAGGTTTACGAGATATTGCCAGTGGAAAAATGTAGAGCTGAACATTCACGTAAGTATTTTCTGACTTTTGAGGCGTGTTCCTGGCAGTTGGCTGATGTTCCGTGCAGGTGTATAAAACCAGGGATGGGCAAGGTCATCGCTGAACGGGGTTGTATGAACAGCGCCTGCTTTAGGGGGGCCCAAGGTGACCCAGGAATATCCTTTCACTAAGGGCCAGCTTGGGGTGACCCCAGAGAAACCCTTCAGGCCCCAAATGGAGGAAGTGGAGCAGCTCAGGGGGTGAATGGCCCTACGTTGTCCCCCCCCCCCCACCTTCTCTCCACAGCTGACCATGAATGACTTCAGTGTCCATCGGATTATCGGTAGAGGGGGCTTTGGAGAAGTCTACGGCTGCCGTAAAGCGGACACAGGGAAAATGTCAGTGGTCTGCGAACACGATGAGAGAAACGCCTGTGGTCCCAGCCCGAGGGGGTTGCGGGGTTGCTGCCTTGTGCATCTTCCCCTCTTGTTTGGCTTGTGCTTCAACTGTGGCTCATAGTTCCCCTCCCCCCCACCCCAGTTTTTACGCCCAGAGCATTAAAAGGCAACCAGTTGCTCAGCTGTGGGAAGGCTGGTGGCGCAGGTGTCGCCCACGTGGACTTGCCCCTTCCAGCCAGAAGCGCGAAGCCCTGGGAGCCGGGCCCCTGCAAAGGGCATGGGGGCCGTGCGCAGCTTCTGAGGGGCTCCCTCAGGCACGGCCGCCGGCCAGGCCAAGCCAGCCCAAACTCTGCAGGGAGAGGGCGGTTGCTGTGCTTGCGAAATCCCTGGCTGTAATCCTTTTGATTCACAAACCGGCAAATCGCAGAGCGAGTCCCAGGAGGTCCCCGGGAGCAAGCGAGGATGCAGCGCTGCCCTTTCGTGGCCTGCGGTGGCCTCAGCCTCTTTGTGCCGCTTTTTAGGTACGCCATGAAATGTTTGGATAAGAAGCGGATCAAGATGAAGCAGGGGGAAACCTTGGCCTTGAACGAACGCATCATGCTCTCCCTCGTCAGCACCGGGGTGAGTGGGAAGCAGGTCGGGGGGGAGGGGGTCTCACCCAGGGGGGCTGATCCACAATGGGCCTGCGTGGAGGAGAAGCTGCGGCCTCCT